TGGATGGTATTCCTTCACCATATTTATTCAATCTGTATGCTAGTAAATAATTTGATAAGTTGGATTATATGAAGAAGAATGTGGCATCAGGATTGGAGGAAGACTCATTAAAAACCTACCATATGCAGATGATACAACCTTGCTTGCTGAAAGCAAGGAGGACTTAAAATACTTACTGATGAACATTAAAGATTACACCCTTCCATGTGGGTTGTAACTCAGTGTAAAGAAAATAAAAATTCTCACCACTCCAATAAATAACATCAAGGTAGATGGATAAATTACTGAAGTTGTCAAAGACTTCATTTTCCTTGGATTAATCATCAACACTCATGGAAGCAGCAAAGAAATCAAACAAAGTATTTTATCGGACAAATCTGCTTCACAAAACCTCTTTAAAGTGTTGAAGAGCAAAGATGTCAGCTTGAGGACTAAGGTGGGCCTGACCCAAGTCATGGTATTTTCAATAACCTTATATGCATGAGGAAGTTGGACAGTGAATAAGGAAGATTGTGGAAGAATTGATGCATTTGGTGTTGGAGGAGAATATTAAAAATATTATAGTCACAAGAACACCCATACTTGCAGATAGTACCCTTTTGATCTGGCTTCAATGGCTGTATGATCAGAGCTCGACTAGAGGAAGAAAGAAGAAAAAAAAGAGTAATCCACTAGAATTTGATGATCTTGACCTATACTTATGGATGTAGTAGCTCAAAAGAGGTAACGAATCTTTACAGCAAGGATCATTCCCACCCCCTTGGTACACAGGGTTGACTGGGATGAGCAACTTAGACATTGGCTACCCTAACTGGGGTCGGGGTGGGGGGATGCTGCAAAGGCATGAATTGACTGGTTTACAAGCTTTCAAGAGGGAGACTAGTTTCAGAGGGTGTGGGGGAAGGTAGAACTGCCACTGAGTGGTTTCCAACCTGTCTGGATGGGGCTGGTAAAAGGAGATGGGGATAAGATTCTTGTGGTTCAACAGTGAATAATTGCTATCAGGACTGATTGTGAATATTGCAAAGTAAAAGCAGACATTTTGTAACAAAAGGAGTTGAGTGGTTGATCTTGTAGTCCAGGGAGTGGAGGACTCT